CTTGCTGGATATGATGCACTGTGCTTGGCCCTGAGAAAGCACCAGCAAATGAGATAGACATGGTCTCTGCCTTCATGGAGATATTAGGGACTATGCTTATAAAAAGGCCACTCCAGTACACATGGCATGACAAGAGCTGTGAAGGAGTAAGAGACTCCATGGGCCCAGAAGAGGGGTGTGGAAGGGACGGGAGATGCTGGTCAGACAGAAGAGGGCCATGTCTAGGGCAAAGGAAGAAGTAAGACACTTGGCAGGGACTTTGAGGCATGGTGAGATCTGATACAGTTGGAGGGGAGTGCAGCGAGGGTCAGAGATTGGTAAGAATTGGTTTAAGAAGAGCCCAAGAGGTAAACAGGCCAGATGGTATCCAAGACCTCTGGTCCTTGGAAGGGGTAAGGTTTTACTCTGAGAGCCTGCAAGGAACACTAAATGGGGCTCCTGGGCTGTAAGGAGGTGACAGGACTGGATCTATTTTTTGAGAGCTTCCTCTGGCTGCTTGGTGAAGGAAGGATGCAGTGTGATAGGAGAGAGGTTAATGGCCTGACAAGGGGGACAGACATGTTTGGGACATGTTTTTGGTGTAGCATTAACAGGTTGTGATGATGGATTGAATATAGAGAGTGGAGAAAATGGAGTCACCAAGGATCACACCCAGGTGGCTGGCTTGGCTGACTGCATAGACGTGGTGCTGCTTAACTGAGATGAGGACCCATGAGAGGTACTATGGGAAACATGGTGACTCTGGGCATGTAGGGTGTAAGGTGCCTGAAGACCACCAGAGGGGTGCCTAGCAGACAATTGGGTATACAGCCAAGAGGCCAGAGCTAGGGAGTAGGGGTGCACACCATCCATGTCTAAGGGGAAAGTCAGCCCATGTACAGAGGAGAGCTCACCTGGAGGGAGGAGAGAAGGAAGATACAGGCTGGAGCCTGGGGATCACCAGCCCATAAAAGGAGGCTGAGGAGGAAGGATTTCAGAAAGAAGGGAATCATTCAAGCCAAGCAGGTGTTTCCAGAAGGTGACATGTGAACTGCTGGCTAGAGGGCAGACAGGAAAAATCCCTTGGATTTAGTAATGTGTGACCTTGGCAAGAACAGTCTGCAGAGGTAGACAGTGCATGTGGACAGCTCTTTCCAGACTTTGAGCTATGAAGGGAAGCAGAGAGAGCAGTTGCTGGAGCAGGATTGGAGTTGAAGGAGGCTTTTTGGTTGAATGCTCTGTGGTGGGAAAACTGAACTTGGATCTATGGGGATGGGAAAGTGCAGGAGAAGCGGGTAATAAGGCCCTTGGGAAGCTGCTGGGACAGGGTAGTGAAAGGCAGGGTCTCTTTGCAGGCAAGAGGGGCTGGTCCTGAGCTCCTGTGGTGGGGTCAGCCTTGGATGAGAGGAGAGTCTAGGCTATGCTAAGGGAAGCTGCCACATGCTTATACCCAAGGTGGGCCCTGTGAGAACCCCAAAGGTGTACAAGCCTCAGTCCCAGCCTTCAAGCAGCAGAGAATTCACAGGGTCAGCATCACTCAACCAGGACTGCCCTCTTCAAAGTCCTAGGGCCCTTCAGTGTCCCTCCTCATCAAGATCTCCATGACATTGGACTCTGTTGGCCTCCTTTCATCTCGGCTTCCAAACCACAGCTCTTCCATACTTCTCTGACCTTCTCTCTGACTGCCCCTCTGACTTTTCTCTCTTTGGGGCCCTCTGCCTTTTTCATTTTATATGCTTTGGGGGCTTCTATTCCTTTTTCATTTTATATGCTTTCTTGAGAAGTCATCGTCCTCCTCAAAAATCTACATCTCCTGTCCTGAGTCTCAGATTTCCAACCATACTATACATTTCTTCCTGTCTCTCTCATGAGCATCTCACACTTAGCAGTTGCAAACTAAGGTCTAACTGAGTTTCTATCCAAGGCTGAGAATGGTACCACTTGAGCAAGCCAAGTTGAAAACATTGAATCTCAGTTTCTCCATTATGACCCCCAACCCCACGCTCACTGCTGCCAAAGCCTGTGGATTCCATGCCCAGAAGGCTCCAGAACCCCTATCCTAGAACGTGCATATCATGCCTAGAATCCTACTCTCTCCTCTTCCAAACCGCTCCCTACAATGCCAGTGAAGTATCCTCTTTTATATTTACCTCTAAGCCAACTTCAAGCAAATCTAAACTTTTTTAGTGTGTTATGTTCAAGGCCAACGGTGGTCCATCCTGTCCTGCCTGTCTAGCCTCATCTCCTCTTACCTACCAAGCACTGCAGGCCTTTTGACACCCCCTGCCTTTGCCCCTGGGTTCCCTGGTCTGGAGATTCCCTGCCACCTCCATCTCTCACAGTCCTTCTCAACCCCTTCCAACCCAGGCCCCTCCCTTATGCTCCCCAGCAGGCTGTGCACAACTTCCATGGAGGTAACAAAGTATTGTAGATAGATGTGTATGTGGCCCCCAGTCATGGCACTGCCCTTGAAAACTCAGAGTCCTCTCTCTGTCTCTTTATATGTTTTTGTTGTTAGTTTCTGTGGAGTTGACTCCAACTCAAGGTGATGTTATGTACAACAGAACAAACCATTGTCTGGTCTTGTATCAGCCTCACAATCACTGACATGTTTAAGTTCATCCTTGGAGCTACTGTGCCAGTCTATCTCACCCAGGCTCTCCCACACCCTTGCTGACCCTCCAAACATGATATCTTCCTTTAACGATTGATCCCTCCTGACGATGTGTCCAAAGCAAATAAGTAAGATAATGTTCTGCTGCAATTCATAAGGTTTGCTTTGGCTAATTTTCAAAAGTAGATCACTAGGACTTTCTTCCTAGTGTGCCTTAGTCTGAAAGCTCTGCTGAAACCTGTCCACCATGGGTGACCCTGATGGTATTTGAATTGTTGATGGTATAGCTTCCAGCCTCACCATAACATGCAAGCCACCACAGTATAATGAACTAACAGATAGGCTATATATCTATTCATATAGGAAGGCCATTTGTCACCTATGTTTGATATGGAAGGAGAAATGAAAGGATCTGAGAGCAGTTGAGATGGATGCACAGCATGCCTGCTTCTGGCCTAAGCGTAGAACACAGCCAAGATGTGGTCACATCAGAGTGGCTGTAGGGCCTGTGTGGGAATGACCCCACATAACCCACCACAGCAGTGGACATGGGAGGGCGGTGAATGCTGACAGACTCCATTGTAGTTGGTTTGTGGGGTTAGGGTATCACAGACCTGCTGAGAAAAGCTGAGCTGAGGTTGATGTCCAGGTGATGGCGGAACCCCCAGTGCAAAGGGAAGACCAAACAATTCTCACTTTTGTCTTCTCCTTGTTGGGAAAGGGAGCCTCGTCTCATCTTGTCTTCAACTAAAGCCTGGATCTCCAGTAAGATGACAGACATAAGAATTAGAATCTGGGTGTGGGTAGCTGGTTTGGGTCCAGGAAGCCTGCTGCATGAACGTGAACCACTGTCACTGGGAGGCAAACACCTCATATGCTTGGTCATAGATGCCCTTCGTAAAAGCAAAATTGAGTCATTTCTCTCAATACCCCCACAATGGACTGCAGTTCCTTCCATTGAACACAAGATGGTGCTTTGTCCTAGAGCAAGTGAAAGTCCACCCACCTGACCTAAAGACCACTGCTCTGAAACTGGCTGGCTCAGTCAGGGACTGGCTGTAAAAGTAAAGAAAAGTTGGTTTTAGATGCTGTGAGTGGCGTTGGTTGGCCAAACCTGAGGTGGCAAAAAACAGTGTGTGTGTGCGTGGTTGTGGGGGTGTGTGTGGGTGTGGGTGTAGGTGTGTGTGTATAGATGATAGTCTGCTGCTAGGCAGGGATGCCTTGGTATCTTCCTCCCTGGTGTACAGTGTGAGTGTGGATGTGGGCAGGGCATTTGCTAGGTGCTGGAAGGCAGGGTCAGCAGGCCAAGAGGCCAGAGCCTCCTTTGAAGCTCCTGTTGTGGCAGACCCAAGGCCTCCTGAGTGAGAAAACTTTTCTCCTGGATGAATGCCAGGAGCTCCCCACTCAGCTCCATGGCCTGCCACAACCTTCCCCTGCCCTGCTGGAGACTTGAATGCATGTAGCATTAGACCAACAAGACAGCTTTGATGATGATCCTGTTGAGCCTTGTGGGACTTGTGGTCTAGAGAACATGGGTGGCCCTGAGGCCTAACAGGTGGACTGACTGCCCCTGGCAGCTCCTGAAAGCTTTTGGCACTTCCTGCTATGATCCCAAGTAATCTCCAAAGCTCCATGACAGTTGAGGTGGCTGTGAATCCTTAAGAATTTCCAATGTAACTGGAGGTGGGGGTGCAGGAGAGACCGCAGGATTCCTAGAAGTCATTGCCATCCCTGTTACCGGCCCTCACACGAGTGTCTGAGTGGCTTCCCAATAGACTGGTTTAGCCTTTGTTGCCCCTCATGGGAAGGTGAACAGACTTCGGGGCAGGTTCTGATCCCAGTTCTGTTACTTTCTGGCTGGGGGACCTTGGGTATGTCTCTCTCCATCTCTGACCCACAGGTTCTTAAATATCCCCTGGTCTCATGGGGCAATTGTGGTCTAATTTGGGTAAAGTGACCAGCACAGGGTGAGCACTTGGTAAATGGTGGCTGCCTGAGCTGTGACTGTGGTTATTCTTTTTCTCTCATTGTGACTGTGGCAGAGAAGGTTGTTCTTAATGGGCAGATACTGTAGCTGGGGTTGGCTCTGGAAGGAAGCCATCTGGAGATCTGGGGCTTCTCCCTACTGGCAGGAAGCACCAATGTCTGCTGCCTCTGGGGAAAAGGAAGGCGAGGTTCCTTCTGTCCACGGGTTAGGGCAGGCCCAGGGGTCCACAGTCGATCCCCAGGGTGTCTCAGTCCCTCCGGCCCCAGTTCTCTCTGGTTCCTCGTCCTCCATGCCAGATGTCCATAATGGGCTGGAGGAAGCTAGGAAACATGTACATCTTCTGAGGTAGGAATCTGCCTCTTCTCCTCCTTTTTTTTTTTTTTTTTTTTTTCCTTTTACCATGACGCCTGTCGCTCATAGGTACAAATCAAACGAAGAGTATGTATATGTGCGAGGCCGCGGCCGAGGGAAATATGTTTGTGAGGAGTGTGGAATTCGCTGCAAGAAGCCCAGCATGCTGAAGAAACACATCCGCACCCACACTGACGTCCGGCCCTATGTGTGCAAGCACTGTCACTTTGCTTTTAAAACCAAAGGTAAGAGACAGTCGGCCAGAGCATCTACCTCTGTCCAGTGCAGGGAGCTTCCCTCTGGGAGCCCCAGCATAGAGCTCAGGGGCCCAGGCCTCTTTGCCTGGTACTCAGAGCAACTCACTTCCTGGGTTCCTGCCCCACTTGGTACCAAGTGGTGGAGCAGCCAGCTCCAGACTGAGCAGTGGCGGCAGCGGCTGCCCTCAGTCTATCTTCTTGGATTCCATACACAGCCCCTCCCCCTGCAGCTCCCCCCACCCAACCTCACACACACACTGGGCACACTTTTGAGCACAGTTCCTGGTTTGGGGTTTTCCATCATCACCTCTTCCTTTGCATGTCTCCTTAGCCGTTTAGCCACTGATGTGATGACCTCAGCATCCACACTTGTCACTGCCACTCTTGCATTTGGAAATCCATTCCACCCTGAGCCACCTAACACACGCATTGTCACTTCTCATGCCAGAGTCCTCCTCTTCTGCCTCCACCACCTCACTAGTCCCACCATGTCCTGCTCTGCCCGGCTTCTCTGCAGTTCTCAACACAGGGCCTGGCTCTCCCTGCCAGATGTCATGGTCAGGACAGGCTTTGATAGTCACCTGTGACAGAAAGGAAGGCCAAACTGCAGAGAGGGTATGTATCCAGAGAGTTGTGATGGGGGGTAGTGGTGGCCCAGGTCTCTGGTGTGGATGAAGGAGGCTGCGTCTGCTGAGGTTCTTGGATCAAGCACTTCCCCTTTGCTGATTCCGTTGGCTGCTCCTGCAGGACAGGCAGGGAAGATACTGCAGCTTGTTCATTGTTCCTTGGCACCTGAGCAGACCAAGGTAGCCAGGGCATGGGACCTTGGGCTCTTAGAATCATTGGTGGCTTCAGCCTCTTCTGCTTTGCAGTTTCCTGAGTCATGGGTCGGGGGCAATGGGCCTGCCTTCTCCTTTGAGCAAGCTGGGACCTCCACTCTGGCCCCCACAGGAGGCACTGTTTTACTCAGTAAATGGAACTCAAAGGCAGACTTCAGATACGTTATGACCTTCCTCCTGTTGGTAAAGCTGCTCCTAGAGAGAAAGTTCAGGGAACCGCTCTAGAAAGGCTCCAGCCAAGTCCTCCAGCCTTTCTCACTTCCTCTGTCCTCCTGTGACCCAGCCCCTCCCATCTCTCTGCACCACGTCCAGGGTGAATGGATCACAGCCTTGGGCTCAGTGGCCTCCTCTCTGACTGCCCCCATGTCTTGTCTCCTGACCCCGCATACTGACCACTTACCCTTTTCTGCCCTCTCAACTATCACCCTCAGGTTGAGCACAAGTTTTTCCACTGAGGTTTTGGCTGGGATGGAGGCACTTACCCTCCTATCTCCTTTCCCTTGATCTTCTTCTTACTTGGTGTCACCTAAGCAGTACCCTAAAGGGACAGCAAGGTTGGGTGGGCCAGGAGCCCCCATACCTGTCCCATGGGTGCATCAAAGGCACCCCAAGCTCTGGAGCCCTGCTACCTCCAAGACAGCTTGGCCAAGTATGCATCAGCCCTGGAAGTGGGCTCTGTCCTCCATGCGTGCCCTTCAACCCCCACTTCCTCTGGCCTTAGGTGGCCAGTTGGGACTTTGTAAAGAGAGAGGTAGGAATTAATGATTTGCAATTTAAAGAAGAATCATTGTGTCTGAAAGCTAATAACCTCTTGTCGAGCCCCCCACTCCCCTCCCTCTGAAGATGAGGATAGTGAGTCCCAGAAAATGGAAGTACTTTAATATTAGAACTCTAACTAGAGCCCAGGACACCTGCCTCATGGCCATATCCCCACTGCCCTCCTGTCTGTGAGTAGCTCCCCATCTTCTCTGGAGGGGATGGCAGAAGGCTCTAATCAGGTGACCTCCAGAGCAGTCAATACTGCTATCCTTAGTCCCAGGGGGTGTTCTCAGCAGGAGGAGCCCAGCCCCTGAAACTTCCAGCCTAGATAGGCATATGGGTGGGGGAGACCAAGCAGAGCACACCTGAGGTCTATCAGGCACCCCCAGGTCTTCTCTGCCTGAAAGAGCCATCACCCCACCACATGAGATCAAAAACTCCATCCTTGCTGAGTTTCCAGCCTGAACAGTCTCCCTCAGGGGTCCTACCCAATTCTGTCTGCCCCACCCACTTTGCTAGGTCTGAGAGAGGCCTGAGTCTCTAGCAGGAATGTCCATTCCCAGGAGATGCCTTCATTGGAAGCCACATTGAGCCTCTATCTTCAGTCCCTTTCCTGGGTCTCTCTGAGCCCAGACGGAGCCCTGGAAGGTCGAGAGTATATAATCTGAGCAGAGGGGCTGTACACCTCTGCATTTCCTGGAGGGTGCAGCATCCCCATGACATACTGAATGCCAGTCCACAAGGCTTCACTCTCAACCAGTGACTAAGGAGTGGGCTGAGTGCTTTCTCAAATGTTCATGGGGGCTTCTGGAAGAAAAGACCTTTAGGAGCTGAAGCAGTGAGCAAATCTGAAATGGTGGGGTCTCAGACTCTGTGACTGGTGGGAGGGGACAGGTTGGGGCTGAAGGCAGGTGGAAGCAAAGGAGGCTCCTCTGACCTGTCTGCCCATTGGGGGGTGAGGGAAGGAGCAGGACACTGGAGCTCCAAGGCCATGTGTCTTCTTAGTGTTCTGGGTTATGGGCTCCCTCAGCCACCCACTCAGATCACACAGGCTACCCTCCTGTCACAGACTACCTACCTGCCTCCTCCAGCAGTCTACCTATATATCCTCCCACCCTTCTTACTCTTGAACGGGCCTAAGCCAGGCTTGTGAAAGCTGAGGCTGGGCCTGGGGGCTCCGGGCCAGGCCTGACTTAGGCAGTCTGTGGGGCCCTCCTATTGCTGGCTGCACCCTGGCCTGTGCAGCCCTTCCTGTTTGTCTCTGTCTGCCTGTCTGTGTCTCCGTCTCTGTGTCAGACATTGTGGCAGCAGCCCAGGCCTCTGAGAGCTAACTGAGGAGTATTTTACTGGGGTAGAACCAGGAAAGACTGGCTGGGAGGTCCCTGTGAAGGTCTGAGGGTCCCGTCTCATCTTCTCAGATGGTTCCCAGAGGCCCATGGGTGGGTATGAAGTGTGCAGGCCCTTGTGCCAATTGCCTCAGGGGACAGACTTCATGTCCATAAGGCAGATGGTTGGGGGAGGGGTAGTTGGCCAAAGATGAACAAGGCAGACATGGGTCATTGGCTGATACTCTTAAGTGGAGGTTCCGTCTCTCTTCCACACTCCCCATCATTTTCCATTCACCTGCCTTTCCTCCTTCCAGGATTACTGGGCTTTTTGTGGGTGGCTGGGATGACAGTGTGAATCTGTGGACTCTGTCTGCCTGGCAAACAGAGATTCTGTCCCTCAGGCGGGGAAAGGATGTCCAGTCTGAAAACAGTGTCTGCAGCCCTTTGGTGCACCCCCCTCATGTCATAGCGGAGGAGGCAGGGCCAGAGAGGTAAGGTCACACAAGGAGCCAGGACTAACACCAGGCTGCCCAGCCAGTGTCCACTCCAGCTGGGCAGAATCATCTCAGAGTCTCGAACTCCTCCCTGCAGCCTTCAGGGGTGGGGACAGAGGGGAGGAAGGCCCTCATGGGCTCCCTGGTGCCACCCTGAAAGGTAAAGCCCTTTCCATTCCAAGTATCATCTTAGCATCTCTCTCCTCCACACCCAGCACGGTGCGTGTGGCACAGAGTGATTGTTGTGGAAGGGCATGTGGTATGGGAGGGAGGAACCATGTGGTGGGCATCTGCTCTCTGCCAGGCACACTGTGCTGCTCCTCTATATGCATTATCTCATCAAGCACCCCCCAAGCCCCCATAAGGTAGGTATTATTTTGCAAGTGCAGAAACCAGGGCTCAGAAGGTTAAGAAATTTACCCCAGAGCACAGCTAGCAAGCAGCAGGGCCCAGACTCAAACCCAAGGCCATCCAGCTCCTAAACCATTGTCACTCCGTTCTGCTAGAGTGTAGCGCAAACAAAGCCCCTGGAGTCCTAGGACCTGTTTCTAGATGGGGCTTGCACTAACTATCAGTGTGACTTTGGGACAGTTGGCCCATCATGTTGGTTAACAGGAGCCCTTCCATATCCCAGCACCTGAGCTTGTCTAATGACATTACCAGAACCCAGAGGTAAATCAGAAGGAGGTGCAAACCTGGGCCTGGTGGGCATGGGATTAGATGGTCTGTGAGGTTCCTTCTGTGAAAAGTATTTTCCACACCTGGTGGTTGTACACCCCTCACGTGCTGGCCATCAAAGTTGGTTGAACAGTGACTTAAACATTCCAGGCAGAGCATGTATGATGAGTGATGCAGTGGCCAGAATGAGGTATTCAGAGTCTTCTGTGACCTGAGGTGATCAAGGTGGGCCTGGTTCCAGAACCTCAGGGGCAGTTGGTATATCTGGTCCATGGAAAACCTCAATTACCTTTTCCTACTTCCTGATGGCCCTACTCAGGCTTCACCTGTTCTGGACAGAGAAGGCAGAGGTCCACAAGGCTGAACAGATACCTTTGGGCACCCTCCGAGCCCAAGGTAACTCTGAAAGATATATTCTGCTTCCCTTTTGGCCAGGAATAGAGGGTCCAGGTTTCTGTACAGTTATTGCAGAAAAATCTGAGTTGAGAAGGTTAGAGTCATGGACTAGAGCCAAGTGTAGGAAAGAGGAAAGGATCTCATTTATCCCTGCTGTCCTGGACCTCCCCTCCTCAGGGAATCGCAGCTTAAGGTTCCCTGTTAGCCTCTCAGCAATAGCCTGTGGGTATCTTGAAATTCTCAAAATGGTTAGGAAGCACCCTTGCCTCATCCAGGAGCTCTCTACCTATTCACCCATCCATCCATCCTCCTGTTTATTCATTTCTCCCATCCTCTCATCTAATAGTTTGTCTTCCTACCCATTTATCTTCCTATTTATTTTTTCATTCATCCCCTCTGTCTGTCTCATCCTTCCATTGGTCCTCCCATCCATCCATCCTTGCATCCATCTTCCCATTCTTTTAGCCTCCTGTCGTTCCTCCTTTACATATAGATATGCATGCACTATGTAGCTGTTCTCCATTTCATCCAGTTCACCATCTTCCCATCTGTTTATTGACCTATTGTCCACTCTTCCTTCTGTTTATTTGTTCATCTATTCCTCTATCCACCATCTATCCACCCATTGGTTATCCACTCACCCAATGCCCCATCCATCTGCCCATCTTCTTCCTGTTCTTCCTTTACTCCATAATTTCTCTCATCCACTCATCCATCCATCCATCTACCCATCTCTCTATACAACCATTTCAAGAGTCTTACATCTCTCTGTTCTTCTCTTTTCCATCCCTTCATTCAAACTTACCAACTAATAAGATTAATGAATCAGACCCCCTGACTCTAGGACCTTACAATTTGTTATGTGAATGACCAAACGGAAATATAACAACTTCCAGAGCAACAGTGAGCACATCACAGTTCAAGGGTGGCTGCTGGGCTGAAAGGAACCCTTAGAAGCATCTGGCCTGCATTCTTCTGGGGGTAATCTGGGATACTCTGCCCCTCCTCCCCAGAACATTCCCATCCACAGAGTTCTGGGGTCTGTGGGGGCAGAGCTGTAGCAGTTGTCACTCACTGCTCTCTAATTCCAGAGCTGCTGCCCTGCTCATCATGCTGTTGGGCTGGACTGAAGACTGAAAGCAGAGGCAGCCTCCCCTCGGAGGGCATTGTAGGCATGGAGCCAGGCATAGACTTTGTCCTGATCTTCCTGGCACTGCCCAGGAAAAATGAGACCCAGGAAGAAGACTCTATGGAAGCCAGGGCTTGGACCATAGCCTCTGGCTCCTGGGTCCACCACACTTCCCTGCCCTCTCTCCATTCCCAAAAGTGACTCTGTCCTGGTTCCTCTTCCCAAATCCTGTAGGATCCTCTAGAAGTGTCCTCAGCCAGAAGGGGATCCTCAACGCCCACCCACCATATTGGTTAATGGGAGCCCCCACAGCATCCCAGCACTGAGACAGCCACCAATCCTGTCTAATGGCTGTCACCAGCACTTGAACCAGAGTTCAACCAGAAGCAGGAAAAACCTATTGCTCTTGAGGTCTCTTTTAATTTCTTTTTTGTTTGTTTTTAACCAGCATCTCACTCCCTCATTATACCCTCTGCCCCTCACAGCCCCACACCCACCCACCCCAGCTCCTATGTCCTCCCCCACCCCCAGAGCAGCGGCAGTGGTTGCACAGCCCACCCTGAGCTGCCAAGGCCTGGACTGTGCTGAAGAGCAACTGCCCTCAGCCAGGCACTGCCTCTGAGCCCTGGTCTGCCAGACCCTCTAGCTAAGCCTGAGTCTGCTCTCCTTTCTCTCCAGGGAATCTGACTAAGCACATGAAGTCAAAGGCCCACAGCAAAAAGTGCCAAGAGACAGGGGTGCTGGAGGAGCTGGAAGCCGAAGAAGGTAAGGAGTCACCAACTCCCTCCTTCCTGCTCCTCCCTCCTCCTCCTCCCCCTCCTCCTCCTCCTCTTCTCCCTCCTCCTGCCCCTCTTTTCCTCCTTCTTCTTCCCCTGTTCCATCTTCTCCCTCTACCCCTTCTCCCTCCCCTTCCTTTCCCTCCTCCTCCCCCCAGTACCCCACTCATCTCTTCCTCCCTATCGCCCCTCCTGTTTTTCCAACTACTAGGAAATGGTGAAAGAGGTTCACTTCACAGAATGGTGGACCCCACTCCCCATGCTGCAGACAGTGGGCAATGCATTCTGCCGTGCAGAGCTGAGGTGTTTAGAACATGCCCCAGTATGTGCTCACTGAATGCTTGTTAAATAAATTAATTCCTGAGTAATTGTAGCCAACACTGATGGAGCATCCACTGTGTGTCAGGCATGTTCTAAACACATGTCATGAATTATCTCAACAAATCCTCACAATGATTCTGTGAGATACATACTATTATAAGCTCCATTTTACAGATGAGGCCAGAGAGGTTAAGTGACTTGCTCAGGGTCACACAGCTCAGGACGTGGCAGAGCTAAAATTTGAAGCTCAGCCAACTGCTGAGCCTATGCTCTTCTTCACAGAATGAGGACAGGGCCACAGGTGCTCCTGTTGGGAGCAGTCAGGTGGGAGGACCTCCTGACCCCAGTGACTCTGAGACTCTCCTCACAGTGCCGACGAGGAAGCTGGGGTTCAGGGAGGCAGGTAACCAGCCAAGATCTCATAGCTCATCAGAGGTAGAACAGTGTCTGGAGTCTATGTTCCCCGTCTGCTAGCCCTCCTTGCACCTTAAAGAGGCCAAGATCCTGCATGATGGCAAGAGAGCCAGGGGTGGAAACAGCTTACTGCTGTGGGGTCTTCCCAGGTGTCCATTTCCTTGCACCTGTGACACTAGCTTTCAGGACCTGGGATTCTGCTGAAATAATTTGTCGAGGCCTCAGGATTATGCTCTACATGGGCCAGTCTAGCAGGAGCAAGGCAAGTATGCACAGCCCTGAGTGAGGCACCTGTATGTGCACACGTGTGCAGAGCTCCTGTGTGTGCACAGCCCCCTCAAGCAACATCATGATGTCTGGGGAGGCAGAGGCTGCTGCCCCTGTCTACAGCCTAGTTTCTTGGCCCACCCTATGCGTCTCTGCACTCCCCTATTCTCCTTTTAGAACTGAGCCTTCCCCTGTCGAGGCCTCCTGCCTCCCAGGACCTACAGGGCCCTTCCTCCCACTGAGCTGCTGCTGGCCCCTTTCCCACGCCAAGCCTCTGGGCTCTCTCAAGCCCCAGAGATGCTTCTCTGTTGCTTAAGGCCCTCCCAACAGCTCAGTGAGGGAGTCAGGGATGTGATCCCCAAGTATAGTTGAGGGACCTGGGCTCCAGGACTTCCCACTGATTCCTGATCTCTGCTTTCTCATGCCCGATGACCAGCTCTTTTTCTTCTAGACCAGATTCATGGAAGGAAACACTCAGGGTAGAAAGGGAAAGGACATCAAAGCCTCCCCCACCCCCCCATGCACTTCCACACATGCATACACACAGGGTGGGAATCAGTAGAGGGAGATCCCAGCACCCTGACCAGGCCAGCCCAGATGTGTGAAGCAGAACCCTCGGCCCTCTGAGCTCACCCAGTGTAGGGTAGCTTCCGGAGCACAGAGGGGCAGGGAGAAGGAATAGGGAGGTGGTGGGTGAGGTCCTGCAGGGCCTTAAAGCCTTTCTTATTTTCACACTCCAAAATTTATTCCAAACAGTCCTGGTTTTCTATTTATGCTGTATTGTAATGCACTCACTGAAAGCAGTTTGCTCAGCAAATCCAGTTACAACCTGTCAGCCCAAGCCACACAATTCTTGACCTTGACCTTATCCCTACTCATGCTCAGACCTATACACTCAGCCTCAAGCAGACTGGGCCTTCTAGAGAATTTGAGAGGCTTTCAAGAGAGCTGAAGCCAAATCTGATGGCCCCTTGTCCTCTCCACCCCACCGTACTCCATCCCAGACATGTTCTCCATCACTGAGGGGCATATTAGAGCAAATTTTTGGCTAGACGAGAGAGAGAGACAGAGAGACAGAGACAGAGAGAGAAGGAAGGTGAGTCAAAGGTGTGGGTCTGGCTGTCACTGCCCAACCTCTGCATTGAGAAACATGGCAGGTAGGTGGACGAGCAGTCTGCTGGAGGAGGTAGGAGGCACACCTCCTACACCTGGCAGATCTTTGCCCAGGTTTCCTGAAATCAGAATCAGAGCTTACAGTGTGACAAAGGAGTGAGTGTGTGTGTTGTTCCATTTTTGTTTTTCTTTTTTAGGGATGTATCTGTAGTGTTACAAAAGAGTAGGACTTAAATCACATTTTCTCTTGGATGACATAAATACCTTTATTGAACAGACTATAATAAACCTGGGACTCTTCCCCCTAAAACAGGATGTGGGGTGACCATGTTTTTCCAGAATGCACAGCAGGCCATTTGCAGACATTGTCTCAATGAGTCCTCATAGCAGATGGTGGAAATGTGTGTGGCCCCATTTTAAGTCGAGGGAAGTGGAGCTCAGACAAGTAAAGGCTGCTACCCAAGGTCACATAAAAGTCACTGGCTCCCTGTCACCCTAATGCCTGGTGGGATGAACTGGGGTGCTGATCCTAAGCTGGGAGCTCCCCTGGGTAGGAGAGGCCCTGGGCAGGTCCCTGGCCCTCTCCTGACCTCTTTTCCCCATGGAACCAATAAGGATAATCAGGCCCACCTTTTGTGAGGAGATGAAGTTAATGAGCTCATTCCAGAAGTCATTACCAAGCATCACCCTATCCTAGGCCCTGGTCTAGGTTCTGGAGAGACAGCAGTGTGTAGGACACAGCTTCTGTTGTCAGAAAGCTTATATTCCCGAGGGGGATACAGGCAGTGAACAAAAGTGGAATGTGGGGGCAATAAGTATGAAGCAAAGAGTAGGAGACCAAAAGTGTCAAGTGAGAGACTGGGCAATGTGGGGAGGGTCCAGCCACTTAGTGTTTTGGTTACCTAGTGCCACCCTGACTGGGAGCTCTAGTAGCATAGTGCCTAAGGCACTTGACTGCTAACCAGAAGGCTAGTGGTTTCAAAACCACCAGCCACTCTTTGGAAGGAAGATGGGGCTATCTACTTCAGTAGTGATACTGCCTCGGAAACCCAAGGAGGGGTCACTATGAGTCGGGTCCGACTTGACGGCACATAACAACAACAACAATAGTGCCACCCTGACAGGAATATACCACAAATGGGATAGCTGGAACAAACAGGAGTTTATTCTCTTACAGTTTTTGAGTCTAGAAGTCCAAATTCAAAGTACCAGGCTCTAGGGGCTGGGTGAAAGCCCCTCGACCTTGGGCTTCAGCTCTGCCTCTTGCTCCTGGCCTACTGGAGCTGTAGGCATCTCTCCACACAGGAAGCTGCTGGCTGCTGAGGCTGACAAGCCCAAGGTTGACAAGTGAAAAGGCACAGTCCCGATATTACCAAACCACATAGCAGGCCATTGATTCAAGTCCAGAGACAGTCCAAAGATTGGCAGGAAACATGGCAGGCTGCTAAAGTGAAGATTCAGCAATACGCAGGGTCCAAGCATGCCAAAAAGCTGCAGACCAGCCCCAAAACTTCTCCTTATATACTGGAAGCAGACTGCCAGTCTCATCATGGGGAATAACTACAGCCAGCTGCCCAGCCACTCCAAACCAGGCCCAGCAATGTTGACACATAACCTCGGAAGGAAGGTTGGGCAATCCTACTTCCGTAGTGATACTGCCTCGGAAACCCAAGGAGGGGTTGCTATGAGTCGGGGTCAACTCCACAGCACATAACAACAACAACAACATCACAGATAAGGAGGTGGGAGTACAGAGAACCTGAATGGAGCCAGGAGTCACAGAGCCAGATGGGTTCTGAAGACGATTGTTCCAGGCAGAGGGAACAGCAAATGCAGGGCCCCTGGGGGGCATAGGGCTTGGCCAGTGTGGCTGGAGCCGGTGGGCTAGGGAGGCAGGGGCCCAGGATAAGTTCAGAGGGAGGTGGAGCAAATCCTGTGGCCCTGTAAGGTCTTGTCTTTACTCTGAGTGGAGTGACTCCTTTGACTCTAGCTGTGTTGGAGAATGGCCCCTAGGGAACAAAACCGGAAGCAGAGATCCAGGCAAAACACAGTTTGGCTTAGGCTGGGTGGGTGTGGTGGTGGTGGGCGGATTCTGATAAATTTTGGAGGTAGAGGCTAACGTTTTGCTAATTCATCCAATAAGGGGGGCGGGGAGGACTCCAAGGTTTATGGCCTAAGGAACTGGAAAGATGGAGTTGCCATGTCCTGTGATGTGGAATATTCAGGGAGGAGCATTAGATTTTGTGTCTGTTAGACAAAAGTGAAAATGAGTGAGGACAGCCTGGAAGGATGGCCAGGGCCGCTAGTCCCGGGTTGACGGTGCTGAAGTTGAGCGCCAGCACCACCTTGTGGCGGAATCCCAGCGGAGTCATCTGCCAATTGCCCACGCTCTTATTTCTTCCGTGGTCCCCAGGCCACGTGACCGCGCAGAGGACTGAGGGGAGGGGAGTGTGCTTTGTTGAGCATTTGTCGGTGATCCCAGCAGTTGGATCCCAGCCGCTCAATGTGGGGTTTTAGAAATGGGCTGCCCAGATGTAGCGGACCTGGCGAGCCCTGCGCTAAAAAGGAGAGCCGTGGCTTCTTTTAACGTTCATCATTCATGCTCTGGGTGCTTCCTTGTGAAAGAGGGCCTTCAGGAGCCGTCCTTTGCTAGCTATCAGGAAACATTGGCCCTGTCCCTCCCTCACTAGCAGCACTACCGCTTGGAGCCTCATCTGCAAAATGCTCACAATGCCTGAGATCTTGGGGGTAGCTCAAGATGGACCAGCTAAGGTTTGTTAGGCACTGGGTGCCAGGCTGGCCCTAAATGGTACATGCACTCTCATTCAACCCTCCCAACAGCTAAGTGGATTCTATTACTATTACCCCCACTTTACAGTGAGGGAACCAGAGCACACAAAGGGTTACATAAATTAGTGACATCACACAGCAAGCAAGTGGTAGAGCTGGGATTCAAAACCAGGCCATTGCCTGCTTCTCAGTAGTAAACTTAAGTTTTAAACTGGCAGTGTAAGAATGCAAGGGCTGTAAAATGTAGTCTGGATTGAGCCACTACCTCTCTGGGTGATCTTGGTTAAATTAAGCCCTTGGGTAAAGTTTATGGCTACAGTTCACCATGTGTTAATGAGGGGTGGAGTGAGTCCTCCACAAGGGAAGTCAAGGCCTGGAACAGAACTGCAAAGTGGATTTTGTTCCCTACTCCCATTCCTTTGTGGTTGTTAAACCACATGGAGTCCATTCTCATAGTGACCCCCATTGGGTTTCCAAGGCTGTAAATCTTTGCAGAAGTAAATTGCCTCATCTTTCTCCTATGGAGTAGGTGTTAGGTTTGAACTTCTGACCTTCTGGTTAGCAGCTAAATGCTTTACCCACTACACCCCAGTGGCTGTTAGTTGCCTTCAAGTTGGCTCACACTCATGGCGATCCCAAGTACAAATGAATGAAATGTTGCCCATTCTATCGTTGCAGCCACTGTGGATTTTGAGTGCCTTGTAGCCTAGAGGGTACCTCTTCCAACACTATATCCAATGATATTCTGTTGTGATCCATGGGGTTTGCGTTGGCTGATTTTCAGAAGTGCAGTGGCAGGCCATTCTTCCTAGTCTGTCTTAGTCTGCAAGCTCTGATGAAACCTGTCCATGATGGGTAATGCTGATGGTCTTTGAAATCTCAGTGGCATAGCTCCCAATATCACAGCAACACACAAACCACCACAGTACAACAAACTGATAGATGGACCCCCGCCTCAGTCCCCCATTCCCTTCCCATCTCCATCATCATTCTGCTCCCAGCTGCCAGGAGACCTTGCCTCGGCAGTGCCCTTGGCTCTCACTTCACGTCTCCCTTCACCAGCCAGCCCTAGTTCCACCTGGAGTGTTGATCTCCATCTACTGAACGCATACTTTTCCTGTAGTCTTGCATTTTACTGCAGCATCTTGAGTGATTTGGAAGCCTGAATACTGGCCTCTCTGGGCCCAGGGCAGCTGGACATGGTGGGGCTCAGAAGCCCAGTTGCACCAGCGGCCTAGACCTGGATCAGCGTGTACATCCAGCCATCTTGGTCAGGAGCAAGAGCAGTGCATCACAGAGGTAGAGAGGCTTGCTGCCCCACTCCTCATCCCACCTGTCACTTGCTCACACCTTGCAGGTTAGAAACACAGTTCACAGCAGGGGCACCTGGCAGTGGGCTGGCAGGATCCAAACCCTCAGGAGCCTGCCAGGTAGGCCAGACATTAGCTGAGCTCTCTGCAGCATCTAGACTGCTGCCTGTTTCAGAGAGGACCAAACTTGTTAAAGGTGGCCCAGACGGCTGGGGTAGCCCAACAAGAAGCCAAACCAGGAAACTGGGATTTCAGAGCCTGCTCCCCTCTGCTGGGAGTGGCACGGGCTCTCCAAGGGTAGCGGCTCCTCTGGACAATAGTGCAGCTGGAATGGGCCTGCTCTGCAGCTGATGCCAGCTAGGACCCACAGAGGCCTAGGCCTTACCAGCAGCCAGAGGCCCTTGTGCTAGTCATCAGTGGCCTGGCCATCAAGGCACACATGCATTTTGCCTCTCTGTGGCTCTGTACTAGGCCAGCCAGCATGACTGCCTTGCTTCAGCATAATAGATTCCATCATTCATGTATTAATGGCTGTCATCACTAGTTAAGTTCTTTGCTGTGTGCTGAGCACCTGGTAACTCCTTCTAGCAAACCCTGGGAGGTGAGACCCTCACATTCATTTGACAAAGGAAGAAAATGAGGCAAGTGACATGACATACTTACAGTGGAGGCAGCACTGACTACTAGTGACGGAACACCTCATGCCATAGTGTTATTTGTTCAGTCCTGGCCTGCCATTTACCTTACTTGGGCAAGTTACTTAATTTCTCTGTACCTTAATGGTGGCATCTGTAACATGGGGTTAAGAATAGTAGCAACCTCATAGAACTTGAGAACTAGATGAATGAATACAAAGGAGGCCCTTAGAATTGAACCTGGCCTGTTGTAGACACCAATACTATCAGTATTAGTAGTTGTTGTTCTTAGTTGCCCTCAAGTCGATTCCAACTCATGGCAACCTCATGTGTACAAAGTACAACGGCTCCATGGGTTTTCAAGGCTGTGACCTTTTGGAAGCAGGTCACCACATCTGTCTCAGTACTAGCAGGAGGCCACAGATAATAGTAGATAATAATACTATTATTATTTACAAAGTGTTCCCATGTCTATTAGGTCCCTTGATCAGCCCAACAAGCTTGTGCTATTGCCATGGATACTATGCCCAGTTTGCACATAAGGAAATAGTTTCCTTATGGGCTTGGAAAGGAGTAGGCATGGGGCTGCCATGGCCCCAGGGCCCAACTGTGATCCCGTGTCTCCTGTGTTTCCCCCCCAGGAACCAGTGACGACCCGTTCCAGGACTCGGAAGGGCGAGAGGGCTCAGAGGCTGTGGAGGAGCACCAGTTTTCAGATCTGGAGGACTCAGACTCAGACTCGGACCTCGATGACGATGAGGAGGAGGACGAGGAGGAGAGTCAGGACGAACAGTCTGGACCATCCTCGGAGGCACCCCTGCCCGGCCCACCAGCCACGCTTCAGGCAGACTCCTCACCCGAGCAGGGCCCTCAGCCCCCAGATGCCCCCTCTGGTGACCGGGCTGTGCAGGGCACCTTGGTCTCGGAAGCTGAGCACTTGGCAGCCAGCACTGGCTCCACATCCAGCCAGAGCATCCCGTGCCTCCCCTGGCTGGGGCCAGCCCCTCCCGGCCCCATGGAGAGGGACACAGGCTCAGCCCTGAGCTCCAAGGCTGTGTTGCCGAGAAGGCCATGGTCCCCGAGCAAAGAAGTGGGCAGCCGCCCACCACTGGCTCGCAAACACCCACTCATCAAAAATGACTCGTCTCCCCAGCGATATTCACCGGCCCGAGAACCGCAGGCCTCAGCCCCCAGCCCGCCTGGCCCCCAGATCAGCCCAGGGAGGGACATGGGCCCTCTCCCTTGTGGGTCCCCAAGACTCAAGCTATCTCCTCTCAGCCCCAGCCCCCTGCGAAGAGAACTGCCCCCTCGAGCACATCTGCCCCCAGAGCACGAGGGCTCCACAGACCCAGGCCCTCCCACACACTCACCCACCAGGAGATGGTCCCCAAGTCAGGCCGAGTCACCGCCAAGGCCAGCGCTGCCAGGGAAGTGGGCCTCGGCGCCACCGGGCAGCTCCGCAGCAGGCGAGCACAGCTCAGGCTTGGGGCTGGCCCCGCCAGCTCTCCTTGCGCCCGTGCCTCTACCTCACAAGCTTCTCAGCAGAAGCCCGGAGACTGGCGCCTCCCCCTGGGTAAGTTCCTCCCCGTGTGGTGGCTGGGCCTGCTTCTCCCCGTGTGAGTAGGGGGATTGCTCAGTCACTCCTTGTCCCAAGTCACATACCTGGTGTTAAGTAGCTCTACCACTTCAGTAGCTAATGCTACCATGCAACCTGTGAGAGCCGAAGCACCATGTTTTTCTAGGTCTCACAGGTTTTCCAACTTGGACAGGGTACAGTCTTACCACTTTTCTATGGCTTGTTTTAGTAGAAAATATTTGCATTTTCCTTCTCTGACAGTTTTCCGCCTTACATAGTTTCCAACTTACGTAGGTTTTATGGTAATAATTTAGCAAATGTGTATTGGGCATCTACTATACCAGGCTCCATGCTGGGTTTAATTTAGCCTCAGAAGCAGCAGAGAATAGACTCTGGAACCAAGCTGCTGGGATTAAACCCCAGTGTTGTGGCCTTAAATGTGATGTCAATACTCGTGCAAATCCCCTCCCCATATGTTCTTTGAGCAGAGAAGGTCAGATGGCAGAGCTTAATCACAGTCATCCCCAACCCCCACCACTGTCACCAGCACCCTGAGACACCACAGCCAACCCCATCCCTGTCACATCATCACCATCACTGTCACCATTGCCAACATCTTTGTCATCATTACACTCCTGCACACCATGACTGTGTTCCCATCAGCGTGATCCAAGTTGTCACATCATCAATACAGTTACCATCACTGTAGTCACTGCCACGACCAACACCATCTCTGTCACATCATCACCATCCAACACCATCACTGTTGCCACCACCATCACAACTCCCAGTACTGACATTGTGGCCAGCACCATCACTGTCAACCGACCTTTACCTCCCAATGCCTTTTCTGTCACCATGTTTTCACCATGCAACACTGTCATTTACCATCAACAGCATCAACACCATCACTCAGAGATTCAAGTCCCTAGAGGAGCAGGGATATAGCAGTCTTTCCTTGGGTTTCAACTTTAGGGTCATATTAAAATTTCTAGCAGTGGGAGAAGGTCAAGGATCTTGAATGAAAACTCATGTCCAAGGGTGAAGTTGAGTCAAGACCATTTTAGAAACTAGAGAGGCCACAGAACCAAGATAGCAGGCCAGGCTCGTGGCTGACATTAGGGCAGCCCATCCTAGAGTACCCCTTCCCCAGAAGACAGACAGAGGCCACAGGGCCTGAGTGGCTCCTGGGTTGCTGGGGCCTGGTAGTGGCCCTTGCTAGTCATGGTGGGCAGCCAGCCACAGGCCAGCCGATAGGGAGGGATTTGAAGACTGGTTCTGGCCCCAGCTTAGCAAGTCCCTCCCCATCTCTAGGCCTCAGGTTCTGCATGTGTCCAGCATGGAACCCTCTCCTTACCATGTCCTGTTTTCTGAACCCAGCAGAAGTCCAAGTCCCGAAGTCCCTCCTGCTCACCTGGCCCCGCTCATCCTCTCTCCTCCTGGCCCTTCTCCACCTCTCACGACTTCCACAGCCACATCCCAGCCCGGACAGAGGAGAACATCTTCAGCCACCTCCCTCTACACTCCCAGCACTTGACCCGTGCCCCGTGCCCCTTGATTCCCATTGGTGGGATCCAGATGGTGCAGGCGCGGCCGGGGGCCCACCCCACCCTGCTGCCAGGACCCACTGGGGCCTGGGTCAGTGGCTTCTCTGGGGGTGGCAGCGACTTGACTGGGGCCCGGGAGGCCCAGGAGCGAGGCCGCTGGAGTCCCACTGAGAGCTCGTCAGCCTCCGTGTCCCCTGTGGCCAAGGTGTCCAAGTTCACGCTCTCCTCGGAGCTGGAGGGCAGGGACTGTCCCAAGGAACAGGAGAGGACGAGTGGGGGCATGGGAAGACCTCCCGACTGGGAGCCTTCAGAGCCGACACCCACAGACAGGCCCTACACCCCACCCGAGGCCTTGCCCCGGCCACCCCACGGCCGCCAGGCTGAGCAGACCTGGAGCCCCCGCTTGGAGTCACTGCGCACTTTCCCCAACCCCAAGACCTCCGCCACCCCACCACTGGACCGCAGCAGCTCAGTGGGCTGCCTGGAGGAGGCCTCCACACGCTTCCCAACTCGGAGGAGGAACCTTTCTGGGGAACCCAGGACCAGTCAAGGCTCCCCCAAGGGAGCACACAGGGCGCCTCCAGATCAGCCCGAGGACAGGGGTGCCCCAAGCACGTAGTCTCTCTCCACCACTTCAGCATCTGGCTCCCGGTGTTCCGGCAACAGACGTTTCCAGCCAACTTCCTCGAAACACCTTGCTCTCATGGGCCTCTTTCCCATCTGTCCATCTGTCCATCTGTCCAAGCAGCTTCTGCTCAGACCCTCATCTGTTTTATCTTTCATGTATGCAGTTACCTGTGCCTTTTTCTATACCTTTTGTTGCTTGAAAAGAAACAACACACACACATAAAACACCCCACGAGGAGGAGGAGGCTGTGAACATTTTGTACTTTTTCGGCAAAGGGTGTAGGTAGAGCCTCACCCTCTGCTGCGGTCGGCAGCCCCCCACCCGAGGCCTGTCAAGTGGCAGCCATTTGCTGAGGAAAAGGGGCTGCATGGAGGGGAGGAGAAAAAACAAAAGAAACTTTAAAAAACATAATAATTCAATATAAAAGCCAACGCTCCTATGTACAGAGGTTATGGTTCCTATTTATTGCCGCTTTGTCCTACCCCAGCTAGTGGCCACCCCTCTCTGTCAATGGCAGGGCCAGCGGCCCAAGGCTGAGGAAGCCAAACATGGGTTTGGAGGCCCCACCCAGACGTCACCTGGCAGGCCCAGAAATAATGCTTTTTTTTTGCCTTTTTTTTTTTTCCTTCTCTTTTGTTTCTAAGGGAAAATAGGTTACTTTTCTTAGGATTTAAGTACAAAAAAGTAGGACCTGGTAGCAGGTAGGTGCTAGCTCCCCCAGGGCTCCCAGATATCCCCCTTGGATCTGGCAGTTGACTGGTGACCCACCCCCCTCCCAACCCCTCCCCTCTGCTGGTCCCAACCCCACCCCTTGGGCTGGTTTCTGAGCACCTACCCTGGGCCTTCGCCCTGGCCTCCTCCATAGTTGGCCTTCCATATTCTAAAAGCTACCCACAGGGCTGACGTGACAGGGCCCACTCCCTGGAGGTCAAGCTTGAGTGTGTCACTTTTCAGCTCCTGAGGCTGGAGCCTGGGTTTTATTTCATATTTGGTCCCTGGGGTGTAGGGGGTTCTGTCTTCTTTATGTGCAGACACTGGAGGTTTCAGGGACTTGTGTCTGAACCCCTTTGTAGCAGAACTGGTCCCTCTCTCCCTCTTCCACCCCATACTGTCAGGCTCCACATCCTCCCAAGGAAATACTCCAAACCATGACTGGGTTGGACTGCTGGGCCTTTTGGTTGGCTTAAACTTTTTAAAGAAAAAAAATATATATATATATATATGTATATATCTATATATATATGTATGTATATATATATATATATATATATATATATAATATGTATATATCTATATATATGAAATATATATTTTAGTCTCTTATATTTTAATCATTATATTATATATATATATTATAATGTGAACATATATATAAAGAAACTAAAACGAGAGCCTGGTGTTTGATACTTTCCCCACCCTTCTCAGATTCTCTTGACTTAAAAGATTATTAATTGTCCTAAGTCATTTTGAATTCTTCTCCAAAGCAATCACTTCAGAGGCAGTGCCCCTTCCTCATCCCCACCTTCAAGAGGCTGTCCTGCATTTCCCAGGGCAAATCATGCTTTGTAAGAAAAATACTATGACCAAAAATTAAAATCCCAGGTTGACATATGGAACTTAGACTCCAGCCTGTTTTCTTCCCTGTGAGAGGTAGGGTTTTTGCATCCTTCCAGAAATGATCTTTCGTTTCTACAAGGGTGATAAAGGGTGAGCCCAGGGACCGGGGCCGTGGCCCATCCATGTTTATGCAGGTCCCCTATTCCTGGCCAGATCCTCAGGCAGGCCTATCCAAAGGCTCTTGAGCTGATTGAGCTGTTTGGAGGAACACAATAAGAAGGCACAGTTAAGACACTTCCCTGGCTCCCTGAATGTGGCCATATCCCCTCTTCCTCTGGGTCAGGCCTGTCCCTGCTTGGCCCCTTCTAATGGACCAGTCACAGGCCCCACCCCCAGCCAGACCGCCTTGGTCGCTCTCCTTTGGCATCCCTCAGAGCTAAAACAGAAAGGAGACAAAAGGAAAAGATCTCCCTGGGTGCAGGAAGCTAAGGGATCTGCTGTTCCCAGTGTGCTGGATTGGTTAGTCACCGTGGGAAAAGGCAGCCAGCCCAGTCTTGACCATACTGGCACTGTTGTAGCTTGGCAGGAAGTGTCAAGGAGCCTGGGCCCAGTCACAGCACAGGCCAGGGCTCTCCTCACCCCCTGTCCTATAGCTCAAATCCACGGGCTGCCCAAGAATTAGACTTCAAGAGCTGAGGGCTGCCCATTGCTTCAGCCAAGTTTCAAAATTCTTGAGCAAGATCTGTTGGGGCTAGTGTCTGGCTGGTCATCATTCCCCCTGTACTCATACAGCCCACCCACCAAAGGCATCCTTGCCTAGGAAGCCTTGTAATGAATGGACAGTGTGGTCAACAGGGGAGAGCCCCATAGTCTCTCAGGGTCATTAGACACAGGCAGAGGGGATGTAGCAGAGGGCAGGTGCCACCGTAGACCCATGTCTGATGATACACAAACAGAATCCAGCCGAAGGGCTTCTGCCTCACACAGGTGCCCAGAGAGAAGGGTTGATGCCACCAGTCAGGGATATATGTCATTGGGCCACAACTCTGAGTCCCTCTTGCCAGATTCGATTCCTATTTCCCCTAACACAGAGCTCTATTCCCATGCTCATGTCTTTGTAATTTGGGAAAAGATTAACCCATGCCCTCCCCTGGCTACCCCTGCCCTGCTCCCAACCATTTCCTGTTTCTGGTTTGCTCATGACACTCTTGTCCCGTCCAAGGGCAACAGTGGAGACTGAAGTGCTCATTTGCTGGCAGGGACACCTGAAAGGTGCAGGGACACAGGATAGCCACTCTTAGGTACATACCATCTCTAGCCTTTGAGTGTTGGCAGTAGGAAGGAATCAACTCACTGAGGTTTCAGGGCCAAATTTTGCCTTCTGTTGGGGACTCTAAGCTGCTTGCCCCCTGGGCGTACATTACTGGTTGCCCTTCATTCCTGGAAAACTCAGGGCCATTCTGGGTACTACTAACTCCAGTCCTCCCCAAGGAGAGCTTTCCCCAGGCCTACTCCCTCCAGCCCACCCACTCCATGGCTTACACTCTGGTCCCAATCACTGAGACTCTCCAGAGACTCAGATGTCCCTCTGCCTCCCTTAGTCAGAAAAAGTCTGAACAAATTAGCTTTCAGATGCCTCCAGTCCCTGCTCCACGTTCACCCAGTTCTTCTTGAATAGGAACAAGCAATATATCCGAGCTGAACTTCTCTCTAGTTCATTCTCCAGGCAAATCTTTCTTTAAGCAAATGCCGCAGCTGAGGGGACATCCCTAGGGACGGCCCTGCAGTACTGACCAGGAGGGGAGCGTTTCAGAAGGCCTGATCCACAAACTCTGCTTCTGTGTTGTGAATCCAGTTTGCTTTCTATCAGAAAACTGCTTCGGCACTTACGATCACTTTACTAAATATAGTGTAAAAAAGAAAAGCAAAAGAAAAAAGAAACTTGTAGGCAAATGTAAGATACATGCTCTCTGTAAGATAAATATTTGCCTTTTTTTTTAAAAACGGTGTATGTATTCTGTACGTGAAATTGTCTGTAGAGAGTTTCTATGTTCTTAAATGGCAATACATTCCAAAAACCGTACTGTAGATATGTACAGCAACCACACTGGGATGGGGTAGTTTTGCCTGTAATTTTATTTAAACTCCAGTTTCTACACTTGCATCTTGCAATGTTGGTATGGTATATATCAGTGCAAAAAAAGAAAAAAAAGAAAAAAAAAAATCCATGCAGGTCTAAAGCACAGAGTCTGATGTACAAAAAGAAACAAATGCTCAGTATTGATGTGTGTGACCCTTGTTGTAAATTACATCTGTACTGTGAATGAGAAATTTTTACAAGTATAATAATTGCCTTTATTACAGCTCCGGCTGGGTGTTCAGCCTGAGGATATTTTTTAAAAAAACAAAACAAAACAGCACGTTGGAATAAATTTTAAAACCCCAACACAACTCCGCTTGCCTGGCTCACAATTCTTTTTAAGGGTTGCAGGATGTCAGAGTTGGAGGGACACGTGGCCCTCAGAGAGGAGCAATAACCAGTCCACAGTCACCCCGCCAGAAACTCTCTCATGACCCCTCACTTTTAAGCCTGGTGAGGAAGCACCATGTGGTTTGGCTGAGACCTGGATTCACATCCTGGCACAGTCACTTCCTGACTGTGTGACCTTAGGCAAGTTACCAAACCTCTCCGTGCCTCCTGATCTGCAGAGAGCAGGGTAATAATCTAAATCTATAAGGACTGTTGTGAGGGCTAAATAATGCTGTATATGTTGTTGTTGTTAGCTGCCATGAAGCTAACCTTTGACTAAATGGTTGACCCCATACACAATGCAACCCAACGCCGCACAGTCTCACGCCATCCCCATGGTCAGTTGCAGGTCAGACCATCGCAACCCATAGGATTTTCATTGGCTGGTTTCTCAGTAGATTGTCTAGGTGTTTCTTCCTACTCTGTCTTAGTCTGGAAGCTTCACTGAAATCTGTTCAGCGTCATGTTGTTGTTCTTGTTGTTATGTGCCATCGAGTCAGAGCCGACTCATAGCGACCCCTCGTTGGGTTTCCGAGGCAGTTATCACTACAGAAGTAGATTGCCCAACCTTCCTTCCGAGGAGTGGCTGGTGAGTTTGAACCGCCAGCCTTCTGGTTAGCAGTCAAGGGCCTTAGGCACTATGCTACCAGAGTTCAGCATCATAGCATCTTGCAATCCACCACTGACAGACAGGTGGTAGGAGCACTTGAGGTGCATAGGCCAGGAATCTAATCTGGATCTCCTGCATGGAGGTGAGAAGTTTCCCGCTGAACCCCCACTGCCCCAAGGTGGTATGTTTGGAAAGAAAAGAAAACAGTTGTCATCAAGTTGATTCAGTCTCACGGCGCCCTCATGTGTGCAGAGTAGAACTAAACTACTCCGTAGCGTTTTCAGTGGTTGTGAGCTTCTAGAAGGAGATTGCTAGGACTTTCTTCCAAAGTGCCTCTGAATGGGTTTGTGCTTCCAACCTTTCAGTTAGCAGCCAGGTGCTTAACCGTTTGCACCACTCAGAGACTCCAGGTGGTGTATTCAGGGCAGTGCATGGTCCCTTGAACACAGTAAGCCTTGCACAATTACGTTCTGAGCATGACCAGGCCTTGCACACAACTACAAGGGTTAAAACAGACAAAGACACTTTTTGTATTCCAAAGCAATTTACCAAGCCCAGTGATGGGCCAGTTGTGGGGAGCAGTGAGCAAGACAGACATGGTTCCACCTTTGAAGGGACTCCATTCTAACAGGAGAAACCGTCATGAAACAAATAATGATGCCATTAATTGCTCAATCACAGAGGCCATAATTACTATAGAGGAAGAGAACAAAACATGAGTCCTGAGTGAGTCATCCTGGAGCTATTTC